CTTGAGTCTTAGTGCCGCCTTTGGGAAAACAAAAGATAGGCTGTCAGCACTCGGCCTGGTGTGTTGCAGATCCAGAGAAGGCATACAAGCTTAAGAATTCTGCCACAAGAGGGAGCAAGAAGCGTGGAGGTGGTGTACCCATTAGAAGTTCTGAGATAGCCACAGAATCTCTAGCAGGGCTGATGAGGATCTCTCTCTCCCGCAGGCAATTAGTAAAGACTTGGGGAGGTGACTGCCACTTCAAATACAAAGACAGCAATGTAAAACATCAAGGAACATGAAAAATCAAGATAACACGACATCACCAAATGATCAGTAACTTCCAGTAACTGAACCCAGACATGATGATCTACAATTTACCCAATAAAGAATTCAAAATGGTTTTAAGGAAAATCAATGAGCTGCAAGAAAACACAGAAAGACAATTCAACAAAATTAGGACAACAATACATGAACAAAATTAGAAGTTTAAAAGAGAGATAGAAATCATAAAAAAGAACCAAACAAATTCTGGAGATGAGAATACAATGAATGAGGACCAGCCCGGTGGCACAGTGGTTAAGTGCACACGTTCTGCTTTGGCAGCACAGGGTTCACCGGTTGGGATCCTGGGTGCAGACATGGCACCGCTTGGCAAGCCATGCTGTGGTAGGCGTCCCACATATAAAGTAGAGGAAGATGGGCACAGACGTTAGCTCAAGGCAGTCTTCCTCAGCAAAAAAAAAAGAGGAAGATTGGCAGCAGATGTTAGCTCAGGACTAATCTCCCCCCCTCAAAAAAAATACAATGAAATGAAATGGAAAATGCGATAGCATCAATAGCAGAATAGATCAATCAGAAGAAACAATCTGTAAGAGGAACTTTGAAATTATCCAGAGGAGGACAAAGAAAAAAGAATGAAAAAGAGTGAGCAAAGCCTACATGTTTTATGGAATACCATCAAAAGAACAAATTTGTGAATTATTGGAATTCCTGAAGAAGAGAGCGAGAAGGGGACAGAAAGCTTATTTAAAGAAATAAGCTGAGAACTTCCCAAATCTGGGGAGAGATTTGGATATCCAAGTTCATAAGGTTCATAGATCACCAAACAAAATTAACTAAAAAAGATCCTCTCCAAGACACATTATAATAAAACTGTCAAAAATCAAAGACAAACAGAGAAACTAAAAAGTGGCAAGAGAAAAACACCTTGTAACTTACAGGGGAACGACTATAAAGCTGTCAATGGATTTCTCAGCAGAAACCTTACAGGCAAGGAGAGAGTGGGATGATATATCATCCAAAGGAAAAAGCCTGCCAAACAAGAATACTTTACATGGCAAATCTGTCCTTCAGAAATGAAGGAGACATAATGAACTTTCCCAAACAAAACCTGAGGGAATTCATCGCCATGAGACCTCCCTTATGAGAAATGCTGAAAGGAGTTCTTCAAGTTGAAATGAAAGGAGTTAATTAGTAACATGAAAATATACAACACACTGGTAAAGGTAAGTATATAGTCAAATTCGAATACTCCAATACTGTAATGAGGTGAAGTATTAACTCTTTAACTCTAGTATAAAGGTTAAAGGACAAGAGTATTAAAAATAAATATAGCTACAATATTTTGTTAATGAATACACAAAAAGGTAAATTGTGACATCAAAAACAAAGGCGGGGAGTATAACAAGTTATTGCATGAGATGTTATCAGTGTAGAATAGACTGATATAGCTCTAAGATGTTTTATGTAAGCTTCATGGTAACCACAAAGCAAAAACCTACAGTAGAGTCACAAAAGGTAAAGAGCAGGGCATCAAAGCATACCACTGTGGAAAATTGTCAGTTCACAAACAGAGGCAGCAAGAGATGAAGAAAGTAACAAGGGAACTACAAAATAGCCAGAAAACAATGAATAAGATGACATTAGTAAGTCCTTAACTATCAATAATTACTCTAAATGTAAAGGGATTGAATTCTCCAGTTAAAAGGTGTAGAATGGCTGCATGGTTCTAAAAAAATAAGACCCAACAATATACTGTCTACAAGAGACTCACTTCAGCTTTAAGGACACACACAGACTCAAAGTGAGGGAATGGAAAAAGATATTCCATGAAAGTGGAAACCAAAAGAGAGCAGGGTAGCTACATTTATGTCAGGTAAAATAGACTTTAAGCCAAAATGGTAATAAGAGACAAGGCCATTATATAACAATAGGTAATATAACAATTTAAACTATATATACACCCAAAATCAGAGTATCTAAATATATTAAGCAAATAGTAACCAATCTGAAGGGAGAAGTAGACAACAATACAATAATAGTAGGGGACTTCAATACCCTAATTTTAACAATGGATAAGTCATCCAGACAGAAAATCAACAAGGAAACGTTAGGCTTTAGACTAGATGGACCTAACAGACATATACAGAACATTCCATCCAACAGCAGCAGAATACACATTCTTCTTAAGCACACATGGAACATTCTTCAGGGTAGATCATATGATAGGTCACAAAACAAGTCTTAGCAAATTTAATTGATTGAAGTTATACCAGTTCTCTTTTCTGACCACAATGGTATGAAGCTATAAATCAATAACTAGAGGAAAACTGGAAAATTCACAAATATGTGGAAATTAACACAATCCTGAACAACCAATGGGACAAAGAAGTCAAAAGAGAAATGAAAAAATATATTGAAACAAATGAAAACAGAAACACCACATACTAAAACCTATGTTATGCTTCGAAAGAGTGAAGTTTGTAGTGATCAACACCTACGTTAAGAAAAAAGAAAGATCTCAAATAAATGACTTAACTTTACATCTCAAAGAGCTAGAAAAAGAACAAACTTAGACCAAAGTTAGCAGAAGGAAGGAAATAACAAAGAGCAGAGCAGAAATAAATGAAATAGAGGCCAGAAAAACAATAAAAAAGATCAACAAAACTAAGAGCTAGTTTATTAAAAAGATAAAATTGACATCTAGACTAAGAAAAAAAGAAGAGTCAAATAAATTATAAATGAAAGAGGAGACATTACAACTAATACTTCAGAAATACAGTGGATGACAACACTGGTGAATTCTGCTATTTAAAGAACACCAATCCTCAAACTGTTCCAAGAAATTGAAGAAGAGGGAACATTCCCAAACTCATCCTATAAGGTCAACATTACCCTGATACCAAAGCCAGATAAGAACATTACAAAAAAGGAAAACTACATCTGATGAATATAGATGCAAAAATTCTCAACAAAATATTAGCAAACCAAATTCAACAGCCTACCGAAAAGGATCATACACCCTGATCAAGTGGGATTTATGCCTGGGATGCAAGGATGGTTCAACATACCCAAATCAGCCATTTCCATGGAATAGTGGGAATAGAAACTAAGTTGCAGCACTTAAAATGTTACTTGAAGGAAGTTAGATGTAGAGGATGTGAGTGAGGTTGGCTGTTTCTGAAGTATAGTAATAAAAATGTCCTTGCCTGTTATGCTAGCTTCATAAGAGAGCAGAATTGAGGGAAAATTTGTTCTTTTTTCATAGACTTTTAAAAAACCAGTGTGATGAGCTTGTTTTTAAGCTAAAGGTAAAAATACAATGGAGAGTCAAAGATTTGATAATTCTTTGCTCATACATAGTAGAACTTTAACCTATTTGCCAATTTATTATTTATTGTAAATTATTCATGCCTTTATGCTGAAGATTGTAATGAGTAACTTGGATTGGCAGTTTGCAGCGTTTTTCATGTTTTGAGATATTGTTGCCAATTGTGCAATTACTTTCCATAAAGGATGAGTCACTACATAATTTTGTTTATGGTAGTGGTGGCCTGAGTGACATAAACTTATAATTGACCCTCTGGGTTTCCAAGGGGAAATAAGTGATTAGGATTAATTGATAGTGTGTTAATACAATTAACACAGAGGATGAATTATTTATTGTTTATCTTTTGACAATTTGATTCAGCAGTTGTTTATTTTCCTAATTTCTAGATCAATTAGCCTTGTTTCTCAATCAGTTATTTTTGTATTTGGGCTTGTGATAGCGTTTCTTACTTTTCCTCTGGCTAATGAGATCCATTTGACAATAGAATGGGAGTTGATGTCTTGGATGTTGGGAGCATGGCTGCTCTTGTTTCTGTGGCAGGGATCACATTTTCTTTGTAAGGTTGATGTTGAGAAGACAGCGGTACCCTTCTCCATAATTGAGGTGAAGGTAGAACTTCACACTCCAAGATAGATGACCTTTGGGGCCTTAGCATATCCATTCTCGGCTAGTATTACTTACTAAGGTTCTCCTTTGAAACACCAGGGACTAAGGAACAAGAAAAGTCTTATAGTCCTTACAGAAATGATAAGCTACACTTGCTGCTGATGCCACAATCAGTATATACACATCAACAAAGCCAGAAGATTTCTAAGCCAGGGGCTATTTTCTATGCTAGATGAGGCTAGAATGCTGTTTTCAATTTACGACCCATTGTCTGGCTCAAGAGTAATGCAGATTCCACTATATATGATGTCCTCAATTGTGCCAATTTTGTATTCTGGTAACAGCATATACAGAGTTTGGATGGACATTTCCATCAGGCATCCTTAATTTAAACATCACTTGCTATATTACTCTGTTAGGACACCATTTCAGAGAACTGCCATTGACTAAACATAAGGCTCTGTTATACAGGATATAATATTAGACCCTGATCTCAGGGTAGTTAATAAGATTTGTTCAGGGCTGCTGGAGTTTAGATAGTCAGTGAGTTTAGTAATAAACAAACCAATCCTCTATATTTTCCTTTTTTTTTTCTGAGGAAAATCCACTTGAGCTAACATCTGTTGCCAATCTTCCTCTTTTCACTTGAGCAAGATTCGCCGTGAGCTAACATCTGTGCCAATCTTCCTCTATTTTGTATGTGGTCGCCTCCACAGCATGGTCACCAATGAGCGGTATAGGTCCATGCCCAGGAACTGAACCTGGGCTGCCAAAGCAGAGTGTGCCAAACTTAAACCACTAGGCCACAGGGCCGGCCCCCATTTCTCTCCCTTCTTTATCAATGTGATGAAACTGTTTTTGTGCACAGAGTGTAAGTGTGGCAGGGTGTACTTCTGGGCAGCTTCAGTTCAATGGTCAAAAGCATCTGAACAGCTGGGCCTCCAGAATCAGCACAAAGAATAATTTCCTGAGGGGAATATTGAAAATCCAGTTCTATGGGATATCCACACAGTATTTGATGAGTTGCTTTAAATTACAGCCAGCTCTCTGGGCCTGAATGATATTCATTTACTGATTTTATTGCAAGCATCAAATGAGTTGAGTTGTTATCTTCCTGATCATAAAATGTATCAAGGAGGATTGGGAAATTAAGTCTGTGCCCAATAGTTGCTGTTATCAATTGAATTAGATTAACAAATGTTGGAAATGTGTTGGATTGACTTAGAAAGAACAAACAAGAAACAAGTTTCAATAAACACCACTCTTTTTTTAAGTGTTTAAAGTAGTCTTGATGGTCTACTTCTTTCTCCTATGTTCACTTTTTGCCCTGATTTGCATAGGAAAGTGGGAAAGCATCTATTGATACTCAATAGATATATGTATGCCTTAGTAGGCCATCTTGTATTTGGGTACCACATAAGTAGCTCTAGAGAGAAGTGAAAAAGACTGACTTCTTTCATCTGTGTTTTTAGCCTTTGGTTTGGGGACCCTTCTTCCATCTACTCAAGGGTCAGGCTCATCCGTCTTAAGCCCTGTCTGCCCTTCCTCTTCTGTTTCCTTCCTCTCTCTTCCCTTTCTCTCTCCTCCTCCCTTCTTCATCTTCCCTCTTACCATCAGCTGGTAGATTTTGCACTATAGCCCTGATGCTGTATCTACATATTCATGGAAGTTGTTAGTTTCCAAATTTCCTAGTCCTTTCAGCCTTAAATTATAATATGGAAGAAGATCTTGAAATTAGTTCATTGATAGTATCAAGTGACCAAGTCTGGGTTAGGAGGCTTCAGAAAAACAAAATTTTGGCAGTGGGCCCAAATTCCTAAACTAATTGTGTGTGTGTGTGTGTATGTGTGGTTAAAAGCTCAATGGGGAAATTTTAAAGTTCAGGACATAAAAGTTGTATAATTGAAAAGAGATATAGTGATAAACCAGGGCTTTAATTTCAAATAAGACATTTAAATCTCAAAGAAGCTAGAAATCAATGCAAGATGAAGCATTTTTCTAACTGTGGCGGACCATAAGGTTACAACATATGATTAGCGTCTTTCTGAGATAACTGAGGAATAATAATAACTAGACAGAGCATGGTGTAAGTGATGGTTTGAAGTTCCTTCAGGTCTGTGAATCTTTGATAAATCTTAATATTGTATTTAAGGTGTGTAGGGCATGAGATGAATACTGTATTTTGTTGTTGACTTTTCTTACATAATATATTCTTAAAATTTTTTTCTCCTGAAAATCTCTATGTTCCTTGTAGAAATATTGGAAAATACGGAAAATATATAGAGAAGAATATCAAGCACTCATAATTTCACCACAGTTAACATTAGGCACTCTATTTTAATCTTAACACTCTATTTTAATCTTAATATTTTAACCAACATTAGTTGGTTACTGCTTGCTAGTTAAAGACTCACTGAAAAATATAGCAAACAGGAAACTAAGCAACTACCATAATCTTACCTTGTATCTTATTAATGTCAGAAAGAGTCGCATATCTTGTTATCAATAAGGTTTTGGAGGTATGTGGGTGACATCACTATTTCAGTTAGCATCCAGGTTAAACATGTATTGCCTGGCAAAGTTTTGCTAGTGCTTGAGGATTTGCTGAAAGCTAAATGTTCTATGCCTGAGTACCAGTAGCTACGAAAACACATTATAGTCTTTGAGCCCATACTTTCAGGTAACCCAAACACGGCTACAATTTTAGGCAGCTCAGAAAGAGACGAGTCAGATAAATCATGTAGCTGAGTCCTTGATGAAGTCTCCTTAGCATAAGACTGAGTTTTCATAATCACATCACATGACGAGCCTTCCTCTAAGAGGTTACTGGTGAAACAAGGAGTTTCCCAGGCAAAAGAATTGAGTTGGATGTTCTATGCCACACAAGTTTTGTATTTATGTTCCTGCCAAGAGTTGAAATTGTTTCTGTGGGAATGAGGAATGAATGAATCTGTGGAGAAACTGTAAGAGTCTCAGACATGGGATTATGCTCATGAAGATGCTTTTGCTTTAGCTGGCTCGACAAGGGAATTGGCTGAAGTCAAGGAGAAAATGGGAGGCTGCCAATGTCTCCCTTGCTGACGCTGAAGGTATCAAGAGACTGTTGGATCACTGTACAAATCCTTCCAGGTAGATGGGAACAGAGCCACTCCACTTGCTGAGAATTGTTGCCATTGAAGATCATCCTTCTGAAGGTGTGGCTATTTCCTGTATTACTTCTTCAGAGACTGAAGACCCAAGAAAATGAGAGTACCTGGAGAAGACAAGGAGGGCTTGTGAATACCAGGCTTGACTAATTGATTCTGAGACAAGGTCAGACAAAACAGGATGCTTTTGTATTTTTGTTCTGTGGGTTCGGGTGTGCCTCTTTATTTCCCACTCTGTAGAGTCTAGTTTTTCTAATAACGTTAATATTGTTGAAGTTCTGCTCTGAAGGAAGCAAAAATCTGTGAATGAAGTAGCTGTTAATACCATAGAAGGAAGGACTGAAGGGAAAGCAAAAGAATATTCAAGTTGGTTGTCAAGGACAATCAAAAAGCAAGAGAATATTCAAGGTTGGTTGTCAATGAATTCTGTGATACTACTGTGTGCAGTGGCTTGTAATTTTTGTGCACCTTAGAGTATTTGGAATAAAGTCAGGATCAAGGATAGGAGTGATCTGTCTTAAGGCAGCTTATTAGCTGGGAATTGATGATGCTTCATCTTGGGGAATCCAGTGAGTCACTAAGGTGGGTAACGAGACAGAGAAAGCCTTGCTTAGTTTTGTGGTCATTTTAGTTGACTCCATTGTTGTGAATGGGATAGCCCCTAACTGTCTGGGTCTTCTTTGAGATTTTTGAAGTAATCTCTAACCTTCAATTTTATATCCCAAAATTTGGTTAAGATACTTAGAGGAAGCATGCTGTTGAAAAACTTGCATTAGCTCGGGCAGTAACATAGAAATCTCGTAGGCCAACCACAGGCCAGTGGAATTGTACAGGGTGACCTTATAAATGAATCATGTGCCTAGGATCTTCAGCCAACACTGGAAGACTCCAGAGGTGTTTGTTTATCTTGCTTCTGAATGGGCTTATAGTCACTAAAGAAGGATCCAAGTGGAAATAGTCTGCCAGTGTGTATACTACAAAGAGACCCTCTTGAACACCAAGAGCTTCAGCAGCTGCCTTGAGAGTAATTTCAGCTCTAATAGAGGAAAGCTCCTTTGAGCCTCTTTGGGCCTTAACACTGAAGATTTAAAAGAACAGCACAGCGTGGATTATTGCTTTATTAGCCATTCCTTATTTTGATGTACTCCTTCAGAGTGTATATAGTATTCTCACATATATCATCTCACTGCTACCTCCAATAACTAGGAGGGAAGGGAGGACAATTATTATAATCTCTAGTTTATAGTCAAAGAAACTGAGATTCAGAGTGGCTAAGTAAAATGCCCACAGGCACAGAGAGAAGTGCCTGGTCCAAATCTAGGTGTTCTGACGTCAAATTGGAAGGTAGGGGTTTCAGTGGAAAAGTTGTGGGTTTTGGAATTAGAAAAATTTTGAGTTATTTAATTTATCTGAGCCTCAGTTTCTTCAAACAGAAAACTGGAATAGCATTTACCTTGTGAAACTATTTTGAATAATAATTGATATGAGGCATTTTGTGAGTTACCTGGCACCCAACAAGTCCTTCATTCTACTGTGCCTTTCTTGTTCCTTTCTTCCCTTCTCTTCCCTTCCCTGTGACCTATCCTCTCCCTCTCTTACCTGTGTCCTTCCCTGTGTCCTTCTCTTCATCCTACCTTGTGTCTTTTCCTTCCTTCCATCCTCCTTTCCTTTCATCCTTCTGTGTCCTTCTCTTCCTTCCACCCTTCCCTTCGCTTTGCTTTGTTATACTTTATCTCACATCTTTTGCATCTAGACTGACAGTGGATCTCCTCTTGAACGGAAGTACTAGTTAGTGGTCCCTACAGTTACTAAATGTGCTCTTTTAAGTAATAGCCTGTGATTGGGCTTCCAGTTCAGAATTGGATTTGTGAGGCCAGTATCTTGAAGAGCATAGCTTCGCTGAGTGGAAACTCAAGTAATAACTCAACAGAGTCAGACAGTATCCAATGGTGGGATAGCTCTAGTTTACTGTTGAAATGAGTAGGCACGCTACACCAAAAATTAAGTATAAAGGAAATTCTAGGTCTTTCAAGAAAAGGAAAATAGGATTATTTTTAGGGTGAAATGATTAGATTCTGTTTTATATGTTTCCATTTCTTCCCTCTATCTCCAAGACTTTCAAATGTGCCATGGAGTCCACACAGCTTTTCAAGTTGCAGGCTCTCCTAACCTCCCCAGCCTCATTTCCTGCCCGCCCCAAGTGACACTGTGTTCCAGCCATACCAAACTTCATGTGGCTTCCCAAACATACCACACTGTTTTAATGTTTTCGCAACCGTTAAACAGGTCCTCCTTTGAGCCTAGAGCGCCTTTCCTCATTTTCTGGCTAGCTAACTTCTTCAGCTTTAAAAATCTATCATGGACATTACCTCATGCAAAAAGCTTTTGTCTACAATCCTCCCCCAATTTGAGTTAGCTACTAATTTAGCCTTTATATCTTATATATGGTTCTGTTAATGCATTTATTACACTATATTATAATTTAATTTTTTTAACATTCCTGCATACCCTACTGTACTATTTATTAAGCTGAGTTCCTTGGCAGCAGTTTATTCATATTATCTCTGACTCCCAGCTCGAGGATCTGGCAAAGAGTAGGCACACACCAAATTCTTATTAAATGAATGAGTGACTAAATGAACAAAAGAATGAAAAAAGATGCAGTGATATATATGAAAGCACTTTATAAATTGTGAATTTCTGTGTAGGAGTTAGTTATTATTGGCCTGAACTATAATTTTCATAATTTTTCACACAAATTCTTTTAGAAGTTAAAAGCAACTTTCTAGAGAAAACTTTAAAATTTTAGATTGCAGAATAGTAAACAAGAAGGTTATCTCCATATTGGAAAATTATTTGAGGAAAATAAAGGCTCAAAATTTGAATTGTTAAACTAGGTAGAACTGCCTTTTAATTTGATTTTTAATAGATAATATATGAACACAATATAAAATTCACAAAGTACAAAAAGGAACACAATATAAAATACACAAGGTACCTTTTTTACCCCCTCACCCTGACTGCCCAACTTCCCAGTTTCTCTCCCTTACTGTTGCCACCATATTCACATGCATTCCATGCTTATAAGGCATACACATATTCAGGATGCTGCCCTTTGAATGAGAAAAAGAGAAAAGAGTGTTTCCAACTATTGAACAGTCCAAGAGTATAAAATAAAATGGTATGAGAGGGGCGGGCCCGGTGGCGCAGCAGTTAAGCGCACACGTTCCGCTTCTCAGCAGCCTGAGGTTCCTGGGTTTGGATCCCAGGTGCGGACATGGCACCTCTTGGCAAAAGCTATGCTGTGGTAGGCGTCCCACGTATAAAGTAGAGGAAGATGGGCATGGATGTTAGCTCAGGGCCAGTCTTTCTCAGCTAAAAGAGGAGGATTGGCAGTAGTTAGTTCAGAGCTAATCTTCCTCAAAAAAAAAAAAAAAAAATGTGTGAGAAATAAAAACTTAGTTCCCAAGATTTCATTTATTTTGTAGAGGTTGTTTTCTAATTCTAGGAATCACTATCACAAGCTTTGTTTTAAGATCCTGTAGGTTAGCAACATTGTAAAATGTCTCTACTTCCCTTTGTGATGGTCTTCTCTTCTTCACTCTTTCTCTATCTAATACAAGGTTTTACTCCTTCAAAGCCTGCCCTTGCTCTTTTGACTAAACTCATAAGCTGAGCGCCACACACAGCTGCCCTAGTACTTATTAATGAGGATACTTCCCCACTTGGAGATGGTATCAAGATCGCTGCCCTCACTTCATTCCTAGCCAGCACATGAAGGGTAAAGATGATGGACGCTGTGATTGCTGGAAACAGAAATCCCCAGACACTAGCACTGTGATTTGCTACTCCCTTCCCTCGTCTTCTAAGGGCGGTCCTTGCAAGGTCTTGCTGGGAGAATTACATCCCTGCCGTCTTGGCAGTTTGATGTTATGAACCAGTGTAACCTGTTCAATTACACATGAAACAAAGTCTGAACTTGCCTTTAGGAAGAGATTTTAAATTTGTGTGCTCTGTTCCTGCGGCAGAGCAGTGATACCAAGAGTTAAAGATCTTTGTTGAGGTATAAATGTCAAGTTTCATCATAAACTAATTTTTTTTTAAGCGCTGAAAACGGACATTCTTTCATCTTTCATCTCAGGCTTATAAAGTCCTTACGAAAAACACAAACTTTGAATAGAAATCACAAAGTAATCATCAAACTCATTAAAATACCTGGCTAAGTATTTCACTAAAAAACAGTTCACCAAATACTAGCAAATACTTAATATGACTGACAGTTAAGGCTTATGTCTAAAAGCGCTGTTTCTATTGAATTCAAATACTGGATTGTTTTTCTTTTCAGACTGGGTCCCTCATAGTAGATTGTTATTGATGAGCCTTATAAAAATACTTTTATTTTCTCAATTAGTGCTCTGAGACACCTATCTATAAATTATTGTAGGGAGCAACTTAGAAAATTTGAGCCCTATTTATTTTTAATATCTATAAGAACACAATGCTGAACAGGTGAGTCAGAGACACTTAGATGCTTAACTGAAATGGACTTATTTTCCCTTGGAAGGCATATAGAGACATCAGAGAATAGAGCAATTTTCCAGTAAGAGCAACTATGTCTGGCACGCTGCAAAGAATGTGAGTCTCTTCACATGGATAGTGAGTAGTGACAGCCAGCATATTCACGGAGACAGATGTCAGCCTCAGCACAAGATTGGGTATTGCTGGAACTCTTCTGATCCAATTCATGGACAAATGGTGCCAGCGACGTCTGCTCCAGCGCATTTCCGACTGGTATCCATTGCCTCCGTATACTTAGCTCCACTTAGGTAACTGGACATCAATTTACTGAACCTCATACTGCTTAAAAACAAAAGCAACAACAGTTGAGCTCAACTAAAAGTGCTTCTTGGGAAGAGGGAAATAGATTTATCTATCTTCAGAGCAATATTCAAGGTTTAGAATCCTTTTGTTTTCATATATCATTTGCATCAACTAATGGCAAATTAAAATAAAAATCCTACTCTCTCAAAACATCAATGCTCGGTGACAGTAAAGAGAATAAGAAAGGGAGACCACTGATACATTTTGACATGGTGTCAGCCTTGCT